AAAAAAAAAATGAAAGTTGAAAATCAGGAAAACAATACAAAAGAGCAAGAAAAGAGAAAGAAAAGTATTTGAAAAAGTAAAATAAGGATCGAAAAAGAAAAAATTAAGTTAGTGAAGCAACAACAGCTAGTCGTGCAATTCGAAGAAAAACATAAGATGACAAAAACTGATGTATTAAAATCCAAAGAAAAAGATTATTTGATCAATCAAATCAGTAACTTGCAAAAGCAATCCATACTCTTTTACTAATTTGTAATTACTGATTTTTCTACATAAAAGTTGAATGTTTTAGAAAAAAAGTCATGTTATAAGCATTAAAGAGTTTAAGGTCTTTATAAAATATTATTTTATAACTAATTACTATTTTAATAAATTAACTAATCTTGCTAAGTGTTTTTTTCTAATGTTACAATTATTTAGATGATAGCATACAAGTCTGAATAACGTATTAACAACTAAAATGTCAATAGCTCATTAAAAAACAATAATTAGAATTTCAAAATTTATGAATGAAACGTTATTGATTTTTTCTTACGTTACAGTCATGAATTCATGAATATCCAGTTTCACTTTTAAAAACCGAAATGACAGTAATCAAAGCAGTGGTAGTAATGGGGTGTCAGTAATTGAAGGTATGACAGTAATAAGTTGTCAGTAATACAAACACAGTGGCAGTAATACCAGCATTTGGCTAATTGAATAGAAGTTCAATTATAAGTATACCTTACACTTTTTATAATTTAAATGATTATTATATGGTAACTAAGTACAAAAGCTTTTAATTGAGCAAAAAATAAAGTTTATATATATTAATACATGCGTACGTTGTAAGCTTTTACGTATGTCTTAAGCGAAAAAGTGTCAGTAATACCTACATTTACCCTTACTGTGTTAATGTGCAATTACAACAAAAAGCTGCAAGGTAAAACTATGGGCCACCATCATCCTTGTTTACCGCTTCTGCTATAAACATCTATTACTTTATATATTATTGACCACGTGATACTTCTCGACTTAAGATCCATCTCTTTCTTGCTCCTGAAGCATATAAGAACGCTTTACGAAAAGGAAAAATTGCTTTTTTTTTACTGACATCTGTTCTCTGAAGTTCCAATAAACTCTTTTACTTCAGTGCCTATTGTGTTGACTGAGGCTACTAGGATGTACTTTACGGACATCAAAAGTCTCGGACTACTCTATGGAGGGAGAAAAAGTGAGAGCAACCCATCGATAGTGATTCCGGCGATGGTAATCAAGCAGAAGCCGCAACATTTTGTTTACTCGGCCACGAGTCGTTATTTATGTAGTTTAAAGACACTCTGGGAAGACTGCACAAAGCATTAGAGACGCTGAAGTAGCAGCACAACCAGCGATAACAGCTAAGTCAACAAAGTAAACACCAACTTTTGTAAAATACTGCGAGAACGGACTTTGAGACACATGCTTCAGTTATTAGGGGTTTTCGTGTGGGTAACTTTTTAAATACTGATAAACAAATCGTTATTCAACAGTGTAAACTTAGTAATTAGGCAATAAATAACGGATTCAAAAATTGATTACTTTATCACTCTAGATGCAAAAGAACATAGCTTTACTGCAGTATTAACTATGTCACTAACAATAAAATTTAAAAATTGAGTGTTTAACATTGTGAGGTACCTGTTTTTGTTTTTGTACATTGATTGTGAAAAGATTTTGTAAAATACTTACATTTTGTGACATTACTGTATAAAAAAGTTATCAGAATACGTATATTAATTTTTTATTTTTTGAAAATTTTTTTATAAAAAATTTAAGGAGTATCACAACTTCAAAGATTTCTAACCAGGAAATTAATTTTTTATACCTGGGCTTAGCGATTTTTTTCTATTAACTAAATGAACATTGTCCAAGTTGTTTCATCTTAACACTAATTTTTTTTTTTATGTCACTCAAAGATGCCTGTTTAATAATAGAGAGGTAGTTTTTTTACTTACGGCTCTGTCCAAAAAAATATCATTTGATTCCAACAAGAGATCAAACTTTTCTTCCACATCTCTTTGTTTGATATTTGCTAGAACTCCAACTTTTTCAATAATATTTTGCATGACACTTGTAATTTTTATGATTTGATTGGTTCTCATTTTATTGAAGACAGGGAAACAAAGATAGTAGTTGAAATTTTTATCGTTTGGCAGGCTATTAGAAGTTTTAATTCCATCTCTTACTTTAGAAAATAGATTCTGTAACCAAGTGTAAAAATAGTTATACAAGCCTGTTAAAAAATTATAAGTTTATCTAGATAAAGATAAAAACTTAGATGTGTATAAGTTAAATTTATAGTGATTTGAAAAACATCAATGTAAATATGCATTATTGGCAAGTTATTTGACGACTGCTAAATCTATGGTCAGTATTTGTATTGAAACAGTTTATCACAAAAATACGTGTCTCGAACAAAAAATTTTGTATCATTAAAAATTAACTATATCAGAGTGTTATACGAATCAAAATAATTAATTTTTGAGAGAATAACAGTAAGAGTGTATCACTTATTATATAGATGCAACAAACAAATTTGGTACTTGATTAAAAATAAATCTTACTGTATAGATTAATGAGGAAAGTTCTAAATCCTTGTATTTTATCCATATCAGTACTTTTTGTATATTATTTATTTATCTTCATATAATATAGTGTAACGTCGGCGCAATGTATTATTCGAGTCTAAGCTTGCGCTTAATAACTCGGGATTCACACTGGAAGCGTAGGTGGGACGCAGGGCTAGAGATGAGATGAATTATGCGGTTGAGTATTCGAAAAGGGGGATGAATGCTTTTGAGTAAAAGGAATTCAGTTATTGTGCCTCGAAACGGTTGCTGTGCTGTATCCCGATGCACTCACTCGCGGCGTACCTAAGATTTGTAAATATTACCTGGAGCGGCATATTGAAGATGTCCCGTTCACGATCTAGAAACTACCCATACCGTCACGAGTAAAGGTGAAATTCTAGAGTTTATGTAAGGGGGCAAATTGTGGTTGAATTCGCGACCGGTCTAGAAGACACCAATACCGTCACAAGTAATGGTGTTTGTTTTAGATTTTACAAGTAGAACAATCGATTATTTGTTTTCCGGGGTTCAAAGGGTACCAATACTGTCACGAGTAATGGGTTACTTTTATTTAACTTTTGAAAAAGAAATAATTGTATACGCAGTGAACCAGCGCGAGATGTCCAAAATTGAAATTGAAACCGCGCTCAAGGAAGGCCAAATGATAGCAGAGGCGGACTCTAGCTACTCAGTCGACCGTTCGGAGTAAAAACAAAAACTGTGTCCTCACCTCATGGTAGACTGGGAGATAGCAGAGGCGGACTCTAACTTCTCATTTATCTGTTTGAGGGGTGAATATTGAAAGAGACTGTTTTTGGGGCATCCGGGCCTTTTTGTGGGGAGTAGTTGGTCTCAGTCACGCGCTAGCTCTAAAAGGACGCTGGAAAGCTTGCCGGGGAGAAAATCTTGAAGAAAAGACAATAGCCGAAAATCTAATTGGCTAGAGATGCTCTAGTTCAGCCAATTAGAAATTGGCACTTCCCACATCCGGCTTGCTCTTCTACATGCGTCAAGAGTAGGGAAGTTGTTTCACTTACTTCTACCCTTCCTTCCTCTTATACATCCAAATTTAACAGAATTTCACTATAACTTAGTATTAACATTAAGATAGAATATTATTATTATTTAGGTACTCATGCTAAACACTGTTCGATTACCCAACTGAACGTGTTGCAAAAAGAGCGGTGAAAATCGCTTATCATTTCAATTTAATGCTCAGATGAATAAACGGTCGATGTGTTACGGTGTATCAATTAGTACTAGTATTTAAGCAGTAGTAATGATGGCTGTTGCCATAATAACTTATAATTATAATATTAGTGGTGGTAGTTATAATAATAATAATAATAAAGGTAATAGTTGTAATAGTAAGGATAATAATGAAGATAATAGTAGTGCACCTGCCACGAGTTAACATAATTAGTTTTACGGGTGGTTCTGGCTGATTATAATGTTGCAAAAATAATTCAGAATTTTTGGGTAGAATTTTGGTCAATATGGTTTTTACTGCTAGTTGTTGGAGAGGAAGTCAGCTCGTGGTGCCCTCGAGAATCGGAAATTCCGTTACCCTTGTTGGAGGCAGAAGTACTGACTCTCTCTCTCTCTCGACATTTCTGAGTCAGGAAAAGGGGAAGGGCTATGACTTTCCCGTTTTCCTTTACATTTCAAAAAGTAACAAAATTCAACCAGATTGTAAGTTAGGCTATTGCTGTTGGTTTATAAAATCATTAGTGTTATAAAAAGGGGTTACTCCGTAAATCATGTGTCTGCGAACATGAAAGGTAAAAATCGGATAATTTCTTGAAAGTTAATAATGTTCCTCTACAAGGTTGAATGCAGTTAACACTTTTGTATGTTACACAAAAGTTGTTGTTGCTTACTGCTGGTGTAGTATGTATGGGTATGTATCTTAGCTATATGTATTAATTCTAAGTTATTCTAATACTTAGAGTTATACCATTTAATCGTAGTCTATATGTATTAATTCTAAGTTATTCTAGTATTTAATGTTACATATCAGTGCAGCTGTTCCCAGTTAAACTTTTGCATCTATTGGTTTTTACAGTTATTGCATTTTTCTGCATTGATAAATATTTCGTCTGCTTTTCATTTCCGGTCAGCATAGGCCAGCATGCATGTGCACGAATCATAGTTGGTCATTGTGCTGCAGCTACAAGCAAGCTTGCAGGTGATTCATCTTTTTTTCAGATGCACGTTGGTCCTTGCTAAAAATGCTTTCGAATCAACATGGAAAATTCCGAAGGAATGAGCGGAGAAAAAAAATTATTAGTGATTGTAGTTTACCGACATTACAACAGTTTATGTGGCAGAGTCGTTCAGACTCGTACCTCCAGAATTTTTTGGCCCCCTAACATGCCATACTACAAAATAAGAAAAAAATAGTTAATTTATGTAGTTATCTTAATAAAAGTAAGCTTTTTCCGGACCCTACCTATTCCTAAGTCCTTGTTTACGAGCTTCTTAAGACCTCTAACTCATACTGTTGTAAACAGTAATAAAATGTTTTATGTTTTAAAATGTGAATGATGATCATTATATTTTATATTCTATTTGATTATAAAGTTGACTTGTTTGCTATATGGATAATAAAAAACGGAAATGAATGGGACATTCCTAATTATGTGAGATCTTCCCCTTCGTCCCAAAATTCATTTGGTTTCAAAATGAAAACAATGAAAAAGTAGGAAAAACATATCTTTTATGAAAAGCCACGAACCCATTTTCGAATCTCAAAAATCACCCATGTAGTAGCCCAAGAGACCCAAGCCTGAAACACTAGATTTATTAAATTAACAATTCTCCAAATAGTAATAAAAGCAAAAACTGGAATTGCTTAACATGGGCATTTACTTAAACGTATGAAAAAAGGCTCTATATTTAACATAATATTAATAAAAACTTCTTAAAAAATAATGGAAATGCGTTTTACTCATACTAAAAATAAAAAAAAACAGCAAAAAAAATATTTTTTCAACAATTGTTTAAGACTTTTTATTTGTTGTCTTGTCATTAAAAACTTGCATATTTGGGCTAACTTAAGATTTTTTTTAGAGTAGTTCATTCAAATTAATGAGCAATTATAAAGAGAATATATGATGCATATTGTACTTTAACTTCAAAGAACTCTTTTAAGACAGAGGAATTCTTTTACGAAAGTAAATCTAGATACAAGTATTACCAGCACAATAGTAATTTTTAGACTACCCTCAATGAAAATTTGTATTTTCTGTGCCTGGACAACATAATCTTACAAGTTTTAAGTTTAGTTAAATACACATTTTAAGCGTGTGTGTGCAAAAAAAGCGTGCACATCTAAGCCATAAGGTAAACGGCCCAGTACAACGAAAGTATTTTGCAGCAAGTTACACATTTAGTAGAAATATAAAAAAAGTAAAGATCAAAAGAATAAAATTTTTTTTGGCGGGATACCCGTATATATCAAAAAGATACAACAATGTTTATCTTAAGTATTTTTATTATTATTTGGTAATACTAACAGATTTATGCAATTCGATAAAATGTCCCTATATAACAAACGACAACTCCCTAATGGCCTGCTGTTCTATACTGATGTCCCAATAAAACGAACGCATATTTAGTTGATACAATAATAGTCAGGAATCGACGAAACAATTATAATGACTCTTTTTTAATCCTACTTATTTTATTTTTGCTCGGTATCAAATTCAATTTTGCATCGAGCTCCTTCCTTTTAGCAACTAAAGCTAATATTTCAGCATTTCTTTGTGCTTCCAAATCTTGCTTTTCTTTTTTTATTTGAATACTAATTTGTTCTTCTTTAGTTGCCAATTGCTTTTTCAGACAGACAGACTTTGGTTGACAGAGTTACTGATGTCAACAATAGAGTCGTTGGTTTTGTTGGTTATGACAGAGTCGTTGGTTTGATTGGCAGAGTTGTTGATTTGGTTGACAGAGGTATTGGTTTAACTGATTGAATTTTTGTAAAGAGCTTGAGACATAATTTGATGTTCATCCAAAACTCCAACTTTCACGTTTTCCACCTCAATAGAACAATTGAAATTTGATATTAATGAATTGAGCGTAGTAGGATGATTATTTTCAGTGAGTTCTCCATTAGAAGAATTATTGAAATACGGAAAAGAATTTTGGAGTTGATATTCATCGATAAAATCAATGGAGATTGGACTTGAATTCACTTGGTGAGCTACTTGGACGGGTCCTATATTGATTATTCTAGGTGTTTTAGGATACTTATCTAAATTATGAAGTATGAAAAAAGTAAGATAAATTAACTTAATAATAAGTATTTTGTAGGTTGTTACAAATTTTAAAGAAAATCCATTTGAATTTAAAGAATAATTTCAATTTTTAAAAATATCTCCTTCTTACCAATAATTTCTATCCCTGATACTTTTTGAACATTCAATCACAGCTGAGACAAGCCTTCGTTCTGAATATCACCTGTCCATGTACCTGATCTACCATTTATTTCAAATTTCTCTAAGAGTTCATGAGGTATATATTTTTGAATTGTCTGAAAATCTGATAACTGATCAGGTTCTTTGTCTACTGAATTTTTTTTACTTGGCTTGGATTTTGATTTTTTTTTTTTTTCTTCAAAACATCGTACCCAACTCAATCAAGATTGAGTAGGTATAAACCACTTGATTCAAATCCATTTTTAATAACATCCTTTGCATTTTTCGACGTATCTAATGTCAATTATAATACTACAGGAAAGTCTTCTTTTTTAATACCTCATCTGTTATTCTCCAATTTCCAATTCCTTGGTGTAGCTTTCCAGTGTTCTCTTTTTGAAGGACCAAAAAAATATATGTCGAGAGGTTGAGTGATATGTGTTGAATGTGGGTACGTAATAATCAACTCTATTTGGTTTTTCCTACAAAAAGATAGTAGAGGTATACTCGAATGAGATACGTGTCTATCTATGTACAAGGTTATAGGAAACTGAATATTATTTTCAATCAGCCATGGATGAAAGACATTACAGACATATTCGTAGAAGGTGTCCGTAGTCATGAAACCATTGTCGCATAATTCAGCTCTCCATCCTTGTGGTAAAGTATTTAAAATACTTTCAGGCACAGTAGTTTTATACTTGTATTATACTGTTTAAAACGTAAAGGAGCTGCAGTACCATCTGCACTATATGTAAATAAAACTAAATGATTGTCCTTTTCATTTCCATCAGTACACTGGTAAATAGTTTTTGCACCTTTCTCAGCTAAAACTTTAGATGGTTTGGGATTCAACTGCAAGCTGGTTTCATCGCAATTGAAAACTCTACATGCATCAAGGGTTACCAAACTCTTACTCTCCAGGTAAGTTATTATTTCTCTAAACCAATTTCTTTGATCTTCTTCAGTTACATCTGCTCTCAGAAGCTCCAAGGATTGAGCAGTTCTGTACAATATGTTAGGATGACGTCTCTTAAATCCTTTAAACCAGTGACGACCAGGCCTGTCATTAAGAAATTTATTTTCTTTTTTTATTTTTAACATGTTTTGCTGCACACTATCCTTCAATTCATTAACTGTGGCAGGGCACCCTGTTGCTGCTCTATGTAAAATCCAGTTCACAAATTCCTGCTCCTCTTCCTTAGACTTAGTAGTAACAGGTCCTTTCTTATTCTTGATTGCTGTATTGCAGTTCTTGAGTCGATAAAGAGTACCTACCAGAATGCAGTACTTTTTGGCAACTTCTCTAAAAGAATCTCCACTTTTCCAGGCTTGCAACGCACACTACTTCTTTTGAAGATGAATTATAGAAGCTCCTTTTTTCTGCTGGTTATTTTTCATACGACTCAAACATTTTCGAGTTTTATTCGTTGTTTTCTCAATGTTTAACATATTCATTATCTCAGTTTACATTCCAAAAAGCTTAACAACTTTTTTTTAGGTTAAGGTAAGTCCTGCAGAAAACAAAATATCTTAATTTGAGAAATCAGTCAAACTGAGTATACGCATACTTAAATAATAACAAATTTCATAATTTAAAAATGGTTTCTAATGAATAACTCACGATTAGAATACAAAAACGCAGTTATTATGTGTCTGTTGCACTGAGGTATAATATCGGATGTTAGGAACAGTCGCGATTATTACTTTTGTTTTGCCTGAAAAGTAATTATTATGTAAAAATAATGTTTTTTTCTTAGTATTTAGACGTATAGATGTGTTAATCAATTCTTTAACTTTCCCCAAAATTCCTGAATGTTTTTTTTTTATTGCATTTACAAATAGTGTTCGTTACATTAGGACACGTTCGTTATACTAGGCCGTTTACCTTAAAGTAAACTACCACCACTTTTGTGTCTTTGCCGTAATTAGCCACACAAGTGATGGGCTCCTAATGTACCATTTACATAGCTTATTTCATACTATAGCACAAAGTGAAACGAACGCGACTGAAGTATGCGGTTGTTTTATGTTTGTGCATGAGTTTCGTAAAATTTTTGTCTTGCCAAAGGCGCAACGTGCCCCCTTTAGGTTCGTTAATCACTTTTCTCTCCATGGCAGAAAATACTTTGCACCTGTGATACGGATATGGTTTTTTTTTTCATTTTCATTTAACAGCCATTCTGAGGATGTGTACAATGGCTCTGCATTGCTGTGTTACTTTAAATGCATGCACTATTATTTTTGGCAAAGCCAAAAAAATGTTTAAGATTCATAGTGAAACGAGAACTTACACAGCAATGGAGTCATTTCATTATACACAGCTTACGAACCGTCGAACCACGTTTGGAAATGCACACGTGAGAAATTAGTTTTCCAGAAGTTCTAACCCAGTCAGTAAATGTCGGGTCTTGAACTCGTAAGCATGTGTTACCAACCCCTAAAGCTTCAAGAACCGCAGCCTGAACCACTGAGCTATCATGGCCGCTGTTAGGATATTCTGATTGTATTTGTTCCCATCAAAGTGTTGTAATTATTAATTATTGTAAGACGATCGTCTCCTCGTTAACAATACATGTTTAATACTCCTTTTCTCATGGGGACGTCTCAACATACTGAATGGTACAACTATAATTATTTCGGTATTCGTATGCTTGAAGGTTGGCTCAAAGCGCGGCTTTGATGCTAAAAGCACGGGGCGAGGGAAAGGAAGGGATTAGGAGGTGCTTTCCTCTCGTGGACGTGGTCGAGGGGCGTTCTCACGAGGGAAGGACCATCATTTGCGGGGCAAGGGGAGGAAGAATCAGGGATACCTTCTGTCGCGCTAATATAAAAACAAAAACAAATGACAATTTTGTTTGAAAAATTAGTAGTGTTGCCCTTAACAACGAGTTAGCTTTATACAAAGAGACGAGGAGACGAGCGAGAGTTCAGATGTGTCCGAGTCTTGATGCGAAACGTTGTTGAAAATATTGTCTAACTTTCAGTATTTCAATAAAATCCGTTTGCTCTTTTGACTTTTCGTCTTTGTGTGCTTTTCTTGACCACAGAACCCAGTCGGTTTCAGTGTTGGTGATAACTGAATAAAAATATTCTCTTTACAGATTTTTTAAGCAATGTACAATATGCAGTTCATGTTACAACAAACATTAGCTTTTATTTTAGTCAATATTTATTTTTTTAGTATATTTTCATTCCGAAGTACAGTAAATATTGTTCAAAATTTTCGGTGTTGTATCTTGAGTCACAGAGTATCAGTTGGTTGATCTTTATTTTCTATATTATACTATATTTCTGTGTAATTTTTTTTTCATAACTACATGAAATTTTATTAATTTTTTAAGAATTTCGAGGCAAAAAGGAGTAGAACAGTTACAATAAATGTAAATATATAACCTTCACAATGCAGGTAAATTCGTAGGTAAATTCATTTATTTTTCGTACGCTGTTCAAAAGAGCAACTAGTTAGCTCTATGATCGTAAGGAAATATAAGTAATTTCAGGCACCAAGTATAGTAAATATTGTACATTATATTTAATAAAGTTTTTTAAATGTACAGTCTCATGCTCAATCTTCACTTTTTAGAAATTAGCTAAAAGTAAAACTCTCCCAAACAGAATTACATGTAGCCCTGAAGGGATGTCGAAATATTGGCATTTTTAGATTTTTATTAAAATAAATTCATACTTTATAACCAAATTTAAAGTAGTATTTATTTATTTTTAGAAATAACATTTTTTTGTTATGCAAAACGTTTTGGCCCATACACAACAATTATTTATCACCATATAATCATGTATATTTATTTTTGTACTATTAACTTCTAGTAAAGTAAAGTTTAACCTTAAATTCATAACAAACACTCTTCTGCATTGCATAGCTTTTGTATGAGCTGAAGCAAAATATAGTTCACAACTCGCACATTTTCTGTACCTTATCGCTATTTCTGTGTGTCTTTTCCTTAAAAAAAGATTTTTCTGATTAATATTTGAATACCGACAAAGTCACTAACAGAGACATTGAAGCTGCGTGTTTTCGGTTCAACCATCAATGGTTTTTGTCAAAAAACTCTTTAATAACTATCAGACGTATTTTTGTTATGTGTTTCAAACAATAACTTTATAGATTTAACGATTGTTACTATAAGCATGCACTCGGAAAAAAATTAGATGTACCACTTATCTAACCAACGGTTCAGGTATTTCCCACTACATTGGATAGTCTGCTTGCCCGCTTTATACCCTAAATTCGGCTGACTTGCCTGTCATGGGTGATGCCAGCTGAGTTCTCCAGAATTTTTTCCTAGTGTGGAACAAATTTAGCGGCAAGGTACGTCAAAACCTTACTAATATATAAAGCAAAGTTGCTAAAACCGTTGTAATAGCTAACCGCAAAAACTACTGAACAGATTTCGTTTAAATTTTGCATACTGATTCTTGATGATTTCGAGATAGTTTTTACATAGTTTTTTTCTTTAAAAAGTTGATAACAATAGCGATAAATAAGCTTAAAGTTTTGCTAAAATAACGAAGCTTTGCGCTGTAGATCAGTAGGATCCACTAGATGGTGTCGAGGTAAAATTAAAGCCACCCGCAATCAAAGATAGTAAAAAGTTGTTATAACATGCCCCATCGAGTTGTCGATTATCGTAGCCATTCATCGGCAGTACACCCAGAACAGAGTTGTTAGTCGTGCAGCTGAGCATCCAGGCTACCAATGACACTCTTCTTTTATGGGCAAGCGAAATAAATCGGTTTTACCTCGGATCGCCAAAATAACCGAGCGCCACGGAAAAATAGGCGTTCGGAACGTCAACGTCTCTGGTGAAATACCAGGTTACGTGTCTAGCCAGAGCACAACCTGCTCCAATACTTCAGAGTTTTGTGGCCGTTCAACCATCTGGCCTGGTAACGTCAGAGAATTTTCTAGCTCAAATGCAAGCCAGGGTAGATAGCCCCGAAGAGTACGGGCAGCCACAACGGCCTCCTTCTTAGTGGTCGTCCCAACGGCATACCTACTCCAGTCATTCGTGCGAGTCAATCACGACTCGTGCGGGAAATCGTCCCGCACGAGTTGCGTACAAGTTTTTTCGCAACAATTGTGCGGAAAATAGGTGCTTTCCGCACTGATGTTAGTGTGGAAAATCGATTTTTCTACGTAGTGTGAGGAAAAGGTTTTTTCCGCCCTCAGGTGGTTTTGGGAGGCTGGTACTTCCTCGGGCAAAAAAACAGTTTTCCGATACTCGTTCGAAAAGTCTCCTTTACAAACCTCGTTACGGACTTCGCCTTCGGCTCGGGTCGCAAACAAAGACTTTTCAAACTCGTAGGAAAACTACTATTGTCGCACACCTTTTCCGCACACTGTGCGGAAGAACCTTTGCCACACACCTTTTCCGCACACTTGTGGAAAAATCGATCTTCCACACTAATATCAGTGCGGAAAACACCTATCTTCCGCACAATATTGCGAAATAGTAGTTTTCCTACGAGTTTGAAAAGTCTCTGTTTGCGAGCCGAGAGGTTTGCGGCCCGAGCCGAAGGCGAGGGACGTAACGAGGTTCGTAAAGGAGACTTTTCGAACGAGTTCCGGAAAACTGCTTTTTCGCCCGAGGAAGTACCAGCCTCCCAAAACCATCCGAAGGCGGAAATGGTAGTTTTCCTACGAGTTTGAAAAGTCTCTGTGTGCGAACCGAGAGGTTTGCGGCCCGAGCCGAAGGCGAGGGACGTAACGAGGTTCGTAAAGGAGACTTTTCGAACGAGTTCTGGAAAACTGCTTTTTCGCCCGAGGAAGTACCAGCCTCCCAAAACCACCCGAGGGCGGAAAAATATATTTATATACAGGTTGTTGCTTACAGTTTTTATAATATTCACTTTACGAAATCTTTTAAAAAAGCTCATTCTCTTTTTTTTCAAACACTTATTCAAACTCCAAATACTGAAGCCGCTAGACCTTCTAAGAATAATGAATACGTATTGTTTTTTTTACAAAGGCATCCGTAGATACTTAGATATAAGTATCGCGAAACCTTAATATAAAATGTTGAAACGTTTTCAGAAGCTTCTTTTTCGTGAGCTTCTTTCAGCGTACTAGTGGCTGTTGGCCACCAAAAGCATGAATCAGTAAATCTAGAGGGGTTTCGTGTTTTAGGGACATACGCCAACATAAGAGAGGTCAGTAAATAATACTTAATTGTTTTTTAACTTAGTTTTCGTACAGACACGGACATAGTTTTAGCCCAAACTTGAAAAAATTGGCGTAGTTTTTGTCTGGACTATAAAAAAGGGCATAGTCATCGTCCGGGACCAAAAAAGGCATAATTTTCGTCCAGACTAGAAAAAAGGCATAGTCTTTGTCCGGGCTCAAAAAAAGGGCATAATCTATATCTGGGTCTGAAAAAAGGGCATAGTTTTCGT